GGAAGTCAACGGGAGATGGTACAAGCCAAGTGCTGGAGAAAAACCTTAGTGCCCTTCCCTCAGCTCAGCCGAAGCCCTGTCTACCGACGGGCTATGTCCTGCAGTGCCTAGTACTTTGGCACCGAAGCCCTATGCAAAAATCAGCAGCAGAGTCACTGTGGGGACAGATTCAAGCATGAAAAATCCCATCAGCATGACTTTCCTGACCAGAGGAAACCGGGTCTTGTGTGAGCAGGCAGAGGAAGATGTGGCTGCTACTTACCAAGCTGTTCCATGAAGACAGGGCTATTCCAAGCCATCCCAAAATGCCCAAAAGACAGATTCACACAGCTGCATCGTTGGGCAGCCTTTCACAGGGTTTAGCTTGTTGTGGGTAAGCCTAAGGTGGGCTCAGACCAAGCAAAGGGGCACGGAAACCTGTGCATTCCTGTATCACCTCGCTTTGAATCTCTGCCAGATTTTGCACAATATTAACTCTATCAGTCTGAAATTCACTGATATTTCAGTGGTTTCAGCGGGATTTTTAATTTTTTTTTTTGTACAATGGAATCGACACCTCGCGACCACATGGACTTATAACAGAGTACAAGTTCCTGTCCTTGCAGACTAAAAAAGAAAAATCCACAAAGCAAACGATTTAACCCATCTGCTAACCTGTCTCTCTTATGCACAAGCCACCCCAGCAGGTGGCAGGTCCCAAATCACCTCCGCTTGATCAGTCAGACCAAACACCGGACAGGATGCCTGGAAACTACCCGAGAGCCCATTGGGATAGTGGAGCACTTCTGCTCTGAGCTAGCAGGGTCCCCAGCTACTAACAGCCCTGCAGAGAGCCTGGGGTCTAAATCCAAGGCATGGATCAAACTAGCAAGACCCGCAGCTGAAGACTGGTCAGAGCTTGGGGAAAAAAAATACCACGGGGTTTTAAAGGTACTCAGCTGATGCCCCACTCAGCATCTGTACACCTGAGTGGTGCATAGGTCTCGCTTTCAAAAGTGACTTGGGCATTTGGGAACAGCAGCCTCTTTGCAAGTCAATAGGTCTTGAAAGCCCAAGTGCTTAGGTCGCTTTGGAAAATGAGACCTACATGAAGTGCAGGTTGAGATGCAACCCCCTCAGAGCCAGGCTATAGATTATATCAGGTAGTCTGAGCAGCAGGGCTTCAAAGCATCCCTCTGTATGTCGAACTGGGACACCGCGCAACGAAGACGGACCACAGAAGGTCACGATCCTAAAGGCAAGAGAGAGTCACCCTCAGTGAGAGGCTACAAGCCACCAACAATGCCAAATCTTGCGGTAAATGCTGTTGGCTCGGAAGTATATTTAAGAAAATATCACAGTGCCACTAACTGATCATTTTTCAGCTCTTCACTGTTTTGTGGGCGCGCGTTTTTTTTGTCTTTGACCCAGTTGAACCCATCTGTAGCGGACTGCTGGATTGCACCGATGTGTACAGGTGGGCAGAAACAAACACGCACACTCTCTCTCTCTCTCTCTCAAACCCCTGAGTTGGCCTCTGCTATTCTTCAGCCATTTCCTGCAGGCTGTGAATATTTCTTAAGGAAAAAAACAAAAAACGACGCCCCAGTCACAGAAAGCCTCTGCCAATTGTTCAGAAATGGCAATTAAAAGAATGAGCTAGTGATGTCCAAACACCCTCAAGTGGAGCAAGCAGCACCGTACAGCACCCCTACGCTGCCAGCTCACTACCGTACCCTTGAACAACCAGGCGTGTGTGATGCCACGCAGCCACCTTGGCATTATTTTTGCCCATGACAAGCCCTCCTCCTGCACCAGGTAAGAGAAAAGGAAGAGGTCACTCAAGAAGTCAGCGTGTCAGTGTCACAAGATCCATCCAAAAGATTTTCTTTCTGAGCTGGCACTGGGGAAAGGACAAATAGGTGAATCGTGCAGGCCTGGTGAGCTTGTAACCAGAGAGAAAGACTCTTTTGGACCGGGAATGAAGTGCTAGAGGCGCAGTTGCAGAGAGCTGATGTTGGGGCGAAAAAAAAAAAAGAAATAAATAAAAATCAAGAAACCATTGAAAATGGCAGGTTTCATTTTGCTTTACAAAAAAAAAAGATCAGCTGTTTGGAAGTGTGAGCAGAGCTCAGTAGTTCAGGGCAAGACCACTGCTGTGGGAAGAACAAGAGGAGAAGAAAATCCTATTTTTACTACAGCGGTGAAAAATGACAAGAGCTGCTGGAACAGCAAGCTGAAATCTAGCTGAAACAACTAAAGGCCACAGGTATTACGCTGCAAAAAATCAAATCTCTTTGCTTGTCCCATCACCGTCTTCAAGGTGACCCTGGCCACCAGCACTTCCAGGGGACCCCGCAGACACCAGAGCAAAGTTATTGCTGCCCCGCTCAGATGACCTGACAGCAGAGTGAACAGGGGCTGCTCACGTCTCCCTGGGGCTGGGGTCACACCAGCGAGATGCAGGAAAGGAGGCACGACACAAAGGGAGGCAGAAAAACCTGCCCTGCCCGGCACAGGGTCGAGCATCCCGAAACCCTATTTTTAGGTACAGCTCCAGCAGCTACGGAAGGAGAAGGGAGATCAGGGAGCTCTGGCTCGGAGAACGGGCTAAGCATCTGGACCATTCTGCAGGAGACTTTCAGGGACCAGCTTCTGAGGGTGGCTGCCACTCGGCCTCTTGCCTGAGGCAATTTGAGGACTACCTTTGAGAGGGTTTCAATCACAGCTGGCTGGGACTTCTATGATGGCAGCAGATAATGAAAGCACACTCGTTAGCTCCTTGCTTTCTTTAAATTCCCACCTACCTCCGAACTTCATGCCCCGCCACCGCACAACCCCAAACACTTTCACTGACAAAGTCGATAGGTCTGAGTTTTCTTAACTGAATAATCTTCAGAGGACACTACAAGGCTGGTCGCTGCCCTGAGTCTGCCTCGCACTGCTCTTCCAGCTGCAGCATGATAACTAAGCAGTGAAAATGGGATGATAAAGAAGCTCAGTTGTGTTGCTGATGGGTCCTCCAGCTGCGGGCATGGGATTTTATAGCTGTTGCCTTGGGATCTTTTGTGGACAAAGTATTTTTTTTAAGACAGGTGAGACTGATCACAACCCACTTAATTGTGTTTCTGCAAAGGGATATTTTATTTAAAACCTGAACTTGGAAATGAGGGCTGAAGGGACCTCAGGAGGTCACATCTAGTCCAACCCCCTGCTCCCAGCAGGACCAGCCCCAACTATATCAATTCAACTTTGATTTTCCCCCCATCATGGCTGTATAATTTGAGAGCAGGCCGTACCACTTCACAGGAACTCACACCTGAGAAACGGACCCCTGATTTCTCAGGCTGTAAGCACAGGTCTCCTTGCTACCGGCATTCATTTTCTGTATTTTCTCTGGCATCTGTTCCCCAAATTCTGCAGAGAGCAACTTGAAAGAATTTGGATAAAGACCTCTGGACAAAGGCAAGGCAGGTACTCCGACGTTACACATCCCCACCCATCCAGATCTGCCTCGTACCTCTCTACTGCAGGATTATCTCACAGAAACCCCCCCCCAGTTTTCCCTTCAACATTCATTTCTTTGCCAATGTAATACCCTGGTCTTGAACAGAGCGGTCACGGATGCTTGAAAACGATCAGCTGACACCACAGCCCAGATGGCTCCCCAGTACAAAGACTGCCGAAGGGAAGAAAGGATTTTTTTCACAGTCCAACCAGCTTTAAGGAGAGTTGTTGTTAAAATCCACAAACTGGTAAATGCCAGCTGAACTGAACAGGTTTCACTACCAAGTGTGCAACCAAGTCCCCGGCTTCCAATGTGAAAGCACGCTGGCAGGAGGAGTATGTCACGGCAAGGG